TAGAATATGGAGACCAGCAAAGTTTTATGGAGACACCAGTTGGAAATATTTTAGATTCATGGAGAGGTCATTGTTACTTACAATAAAAATTGGTTACCAGAAAATATCTAGAGACAGGAATGAAATATTGTAATCAGACTTGCTTTATGGCAAGCTTATATGAAGACCATGGTTATGATTGCTTCAGGACCCCCTTGGGTCAATGGTCAAAGTCAAATTTAGTAAAATAGAAAAAAAAAACGGTTTCCTATTTTCTTGGTCCAATCGAAAGTGTATCTATATCAGCTTATAGCTTTCTACACAATCAAATCAAAATAAATTCTGTATTAACAAATCTTGGTTTAAGACAAGCTTATGTCAAGACCCCGGTAAAGATTGCTTTTTGACCACCTGGGATCAAAGTCAAGGGAATTGTAACAAAAATAGAGAAAACGGTTCCCGGACATAAAGAGAGTTAGGAATGAGATGGTGATATCAAACTTGGTACATAACAATATTTATATAAAGTCCCTTGTTTAGATGTTTTTGGACTCCCTGGATTCAAGATCAAGGTCACTGTTACCCGTGACTGTGACCCCGGTTTTTGCTTTAGGTCCCCTGAGAATTGCTTTTGATCATCTGTCATCAAGGTCACTTTTTGGTAAAATAGTAAAAATGTTTCCCGGATATCAGCTAGTTAAAATTAAGACATCCAAATCAAACTTTGAATATATCAAGCATATTTGAAGACCATCAAGATTTTGATTACTTAACCCTTTACCTCATTGATACGCGAAACAACGTATTTTCGACCCCCCCCCCCTTTTTTAGGTCTTAAAGAGTGAAAAAATGTCCTATTGGGACCCCAAACACATGTTTATGTTTGAGAAATGTTGCTTAAAAAGTGAGCATCTTTTTTTGGCGCCGCCCTTCACCCAAAAGATACATCCGGGGGTTGCCAAAAGGGGAATGTGCCCCCTTCTGTTTGGGGGGGGGTTTGAAGGGGGCGGAGACCCCATCATCGCCAAGTGTAACAAACGCTGAAAAGCCTTTGACTCTATCTCAATCCCTTGAGAAGTTGCAGCACTATAAAATAAATTTTGATGGAAAAAATCGAGGCAAAATAGTGAGTTTTGGAAATTTTGAGATGTCCCCTCGTTGCCATGGTAACAGGAAATTTCAGACTGAGCATTTCGTTACAAAGGCAATAGTCCAGTAAACATTTGTGCCAAGTTTGATTAGTATTGAAGCATTTTTCATAGTTTCATAGCAGTTTGAACTTATAACAGGAGGCTATTCAGTGAAAACGGCCATTTTTCACAATATGCTCATGAGGGAAAAGGTTAAGGTACTGATTCGAGAGTGTTTCAATAAGCTTATAGCTTCCAATACAATCGAACTAAATAAATTTGTATTACTCAAGGACCCTCTGGGGTCAAGGTCACTGTAACTTAAATAGAAAAAAGTGTCTCAAGACTTTAGAGTTAGCAATGAAATATTGTAAACTAATTTGGAATATACTGTGTAAAAGGTTAATTTTGTGACATGGAAATATTTGCGATTTTTGCGAATTGAAATTATTCGCAAATGTTTGATCTTGCAAAAAATATTTCTTTTTTGGCAAACTTTCTTCCAACATTTGTAAACACGCTTTCAATGTTGAAGTTTCAATGTTCAATGTTTGGGGATGTTGCATTTATTCATTATCCCTCATGTACAGACTCATTCAAGGGTGAGCTTTTGTCATCACTCTGCGTCAGTCGTGTGTCGTTCAAAAAATGGCGTCAAACTTTTCAAACAACATCTCTTCCTAAACCACATGGCCAATTGCAACCAAACAGAAATGATCCTTAGGAGGACCCCTTTCAAAGTTGTTCAAAAATTTAAATTCCATTAAAAACTCTGGTTGCCATGGCAACCAATAGGAAAAGCTTTAAATATCTTCTTTTAAAAAAAACCCTAAGAGCTAGAGCTAAGATATTTAGCATGAAACATCTTCTAAAGAGTGTCTACCAAGTTTGTTCAAATAAAGGCCCTGGGGTCAAAATTTGGCCCCGCCCCAGGGGGTCATTGATTTTGCCTATATGCATATAGTAAAAATTTTAAAAAAATCTTCTTTTAAAGAACTCATAGATCTAGAGCTTAGATATTTAGCATGAAACATGTTCTAATTGGTGTCTACCAAGTTTGTTCAAATAAAAGCCCTGGGGTCAAAATTGGCCCCGCCCCAGGGGGTCTTTGATTTTCCCTATATGCATATAGTAAAAACTTAAAATATCTTCTTTTAAAGAACCAAAAGAGCTAGAGCAAAGATATTTAGCATGAAACATCTTATAATGAGTGTCTACCAAGTTTGTTCAAATAAAATTGGCCCTGCCCCATGGGGTCATTGATTTTCCCTATATGCATATAGTAAAAACTTAAAAAACTTCTTTTAAAGAACTTAAAGAACTTGAGCTAAGATATTTAGCATGAAACATGTTCTAATTGGTGTCTACCAAGTTTGTTCAAATAAAAGCCCTTGGTTTAAAATTGGCACCGCCCCGGGGGTCATTGATTTTCCTTATATGTATATAGCAAAAACTTAAAACATCTTCTCTGAAGAAAACCCAAATAGCTGGAGTTTAGATATAACGCATGAAATATCTTTTAGTGAGTGTCTACAAAGTTTGTTCAAATAAAAGCCCTGGAGTCAAAATTGGCCCCGCCCCGGGTGTTATTTATTTTCCTTATATTTGTATAGCAAAAATTTAAAAATCTTCTTTGAAAAAACCCAAATAGCTAGAGTTTAGATATTAAGCAAGAAACATCTTCTAGTAATTGTCTACAAAGTTTCTTCAAATAAAAGCCCTGGGGTCAAAATTGGCCCCGCCCCAGGGGTGCTATTGGTTTTAACTATATGTGTATAGTAAAAACTTAAAAAAATCTTTTTTTAAAAAAACCCAATTAGCTAGAGCTTAGGTGTTTAAATTCGCCCTGCCGGGGGGACAGACAAAAGGGGGGGGGGGTAGATCGTTGTTTTTCATTATATGTGTGTAGTAAAACCTTAACATCGTGAAACATCTTCTAATGGGTGTCTTCCAAGTGTGTTCAAATAAAAGCCCTGGGGTTTAAACTGGCCCCACTCCGGGTGCCTTTATACAGGTGAGCGACCTCAGGGCCATCATGGTCCTCTTGTTACTATATGTACATGTTGTGAAAATCAATAAACCCAGGGGCGGAGCCAATTTTCACCCCATTGCTATAATTTGACCAATGTTGAAAGAGGTCTACCAGACAATGCCGAATGCAAAATATTTGTTCTGTATGCCTTGTGGGTCTTTACATGAAGGTTTTTTAAAATTTATTCTTATGATCCCTTTCTGCATGGAATGAAATTCTTTGAACAGGTTTGGAAGCCCTTCACTCTAGAATAAATCATGCCAAGTTCAAGTAAAATTGGACTAGTGGTTTTTCACAGGAAGTTCACTATATAATCTATATAACACACAAACATACTCATACGAACACACACATAGGTGAATCGCTATATGCCACCGCATCGCAGATGCTGCTGTGGCATAAAAATATACAGACACTTCTTCTCTTAGTTGTTTTCTATTATTTTTATTTTTCAAAGGAAGTTTATTGTTCTTATTTTCTATCACAATCAGCCGTGGGAAATCACTATCTAATTATGAAATTGTCTTCGAAAGTTACGACTAGGTCGCAAATAACTTGATTATATTCGCAAATAAAAGGCGTTTAAAACCTGTGTTAAAATTATGTACCATATATGAAAAACCATATTTTATGGCTTTACAGCAAAGCACAGTTCACGTACGTCGGCGTTACCTCATAAAAACGGTTTGAATCAATCACAATTTATCAGTTTCTTTTCAATTTTCTTTATCACCAGAAGTTAAGTTTATGTCACTTGCCTACCAAAAATCGAAATTATACGGTAGAATAAGGATTGTTGTACTTATAAGAGCCGACAAAAAGCCATACTCTCGCTCGAAACGGTGGTCAAGCCATCATTTTCACAAATGATCTTGAAAAAAACAATTTTGTGGAAATAATCTTGATGAGGGATAAGGAGTAATGACTTCGCAGCCGTATCCAAAACCCAGTTTACTTACCGCGTTGGAAATCCTGTCCGGTATCCGATATTTAATGCACAATTCTGCGTTACTTATTGCACGAATTGTGCGTTATTTCACATTATGGCGTAACTGGATATACACGGTGATATTTGACATGAAGGTTAGACATGATTTGTAGATGACTATTATTATGTTCTCATATATTCATCATAAAAGCTGCGTGAATGGGTCAAGTCATGCAGTGGCAGTTTCACTTTGATATTTGCCACAAAAAGAACATAAAGAATACATTATTTATCAATGCACTGGCTTACTATCCTCAGATTTGACTGGGAGGTTGTCCTTGAGCTCTAAATGACCACTGTTGATTCTGACAAAGTGGTATGCGGGGGTACTCACGCCATGACAGTGGCAGTTTTAGTTATAATAGAAAAATGGTTTGAGTAAGAAATGAGATATTGTAATAAAACTTAGCACATAGCACATTGTTTCAAATTTACTTATTAACACATAATTAAGCCGTTTTAAAAGGCAATTTACTGTAGTAATTATAAGTACGCATATAAAACTTAATTAACTAAAAGTCGAGTCTATATTTTGCTTCAGATCACTTATTTTTAGATAAGGTCAGGTAACAGTTGGGTGTATGAATCACCCTTATTGATTGCTCTAATTGTTTTGTTTTCTCTAATTTGTTCTTTGTTTTTGAACCAACATGACTGGTATCTGGTGAATAAAATAATCTTATTTTATAAAAAAAAACATATAATTGGATCTGATAAAAATGACCCGTTTTATTTGGATTCGTAACCAGATTATTACCGCTTAACTATTTATTTCTTTGCTCCCGTGAAATCCAAGATGTCCAGTTTTTTTTATTTGCTTAGATCGTGGTAGGTTCACAATAACACAAAATATGGATTATCGACATTTTAGTGGTATAAGCCGGGCATTCCCAGGAGGTAACTATGGCCAAGGACATGGTGGGGTTATAGTGAGTGAGCTTGAGTGTGATGGATCTGAGAGTGATATAAAGCAGTGTCCGTCTAAATGGGGAACACAAAACAACTTCTGTGACCACAGACGTGACGCTGGAGTCAGCTGTAGTAGTATGTATATATTTTACATGTACAATAATTCTTATATGACTGGATAAAAATATATCGTTGTCAAGGAAATACTTCTAGTTCTTTTATCCAACATTAAAAACTTGATCTAAGTCTAGAAACTGGATCAGAAACTTAATTATTTCACAGTAAGAATGACATTTATCATTTCTTGAAATGCAATTATTTATGTCGTGATCCTCTTTTGCAAGATTTTGTCGGGACAGCCCACTCAAAAAAGCTGGGGAACGTTTGATCCATCGGAAGCATTAATCACAACAAAATTACATGGAAATTGCATATTCGGTTTTGATTGAGTCTGTATATGAGGGATAATGAAAAGGTGCAACATTTCTCAAGTCCCCTAGCACCGGCTTGAGCAATTCTCAATTTTCAACACCTCAAAGTGTCAGACCCCGAAGGACCAAAACAATATAACAACACGGACACAAATTACTTTTCACAGCTGTAAAAGATAAATTTAATAGCTTTTCAAGAAAGGTACAGTGATCGGTGTAGCAGCTGCTATGTACAAAATAAATTGCATAAACTCGCAAAACACAGTACAGTCCTAAGGGCGTTAAAGGTTGTTTGCACTTGACAGAACCGTCCATGGACAGGCTCAATCAAACGAGCCTGCAACATTGTCAAAGCTGTGTTGGGCTTTCCTAAAGGATTATGGCTTTCCTAAAGGATTCTTATTTTCTCTATTTGTACAAAATTAAATGAATTGTGATTGCAGTTGACCTTGTTTATTATCTAGTGATCAACTTTATTGTTTTATAATGTTTTCTTATTTCAATTTGACTATTTTTTTATACACCCGCACAACAAAGGTATAAGGGGGTATACTGCAATCAGCTTGTCCGTCCGGCCGTCCGTCGGTTTTTTTCTTGTCCCCCCTAATTACTTAAGAATCCTTGACCACAGTCTTCATATTTGGCATGGAATTAATCACGAAAGAGATGACCCTCATTGATTTTTAAGGGCAAACCCGGGGAAAAAGGTAAAGGTCACCCGGGGGCCCCTTTACTTTTAATATGCTTGTCCCCCCAAATCTTTGAATCCGTCAAACCCACAGTCGTCATATTTGGCAGGGGGTAATCATGACAATAAGGGGACCCCCACGATTTTGTCCCCCTGGGTTAAAGGGGCAAGGTTTACAAAGGGGCTTTACTAAAAAAAATTGTCCGCTCAATTGGGTTAAAAAGGCTTTGGCCCAATATTTTGGGATTTTAGGATTTTTTGATTTTGAAACCCCTTTTTTTTTAAACTTTTGGGCCAAAGGTCAAAAGGGCACAGGGGATTGTACCCATAATAAAAACTTGTTTTGCCCCAAATGCAAAAATGCCTGTCCCCAGTGTTTATTTTTACATTTCACAAAATTGAAGCAGTAGAAACATAACTTAGCAATTCACTGTCCAATAACCTCAGAATTTTCCACTGGAGGATTTTGAGCTCCAAGGCCACTATTGATATCGTAATTGACGCCATGACTGTAGCAGTTCTAGTTATTTTGGTTTAACAAATATACTTCTTTTTTCAAATTTTCTTTGAAGTTTCTTTATACCGAATAGTTATTTTCTTAAAATGGTGTATGTCAAAGGAGCTCCGATGACAATTGCTACACTTTTTTTCATGAATTTTGATAAAGTTTCGTTTCTACCTTTAAACATTTTGAATGTTTTAAGATAAATACTTGAATATCTTTCAAAAAAAAACACCTGGAAACAAAGTGATCCCTCGGAAGCATCAATCATAACAAAATTACAAAGAACATTGTAAAAATCGGTTTTGAAATCCCGTACCTGAAATAGAAACGGCAAAAATCCTCACGCCCCCTACCGGGCTTGACCCAAACCAAAATTCTAACAATTATAGCGGAGGCCATTCCCCCTTTATCCGGACATTTACCAGAAAAAATATTTAAAAAAACCCAAAGAAATTTTAAATTACCGAAAAATTTTTTAAAAAAAAAAATTTTAAATTTTCCAGGAAATTTTAAAAATTTTACCCAAAAAATTTCTGAAAGGGGTATGGGTTAAAAAGACTTAATCAAACCCAAATTCCCAAATTTTCATTTAATTTTTTTGTGAAAATTTATGCTTTTCAAAGGGGTCACATTTTTTCCAGTTTTTTTAATTCTAATAAAATTTTACCATTGCCCCTTTGCCAAAGGTATCAACTTTTTTAAATTGCTGTAGATGAAAAGGGGTTGAAACTTTCCAACAAAAAAAAATTTTGTCTTAATTTCCCCTAAATTTTCTTTTTAAAACCATAATAAAATAACAAGTTTTATTTATATACATTTTTTTCACGAAATATTTGCAAAAGAAAACCCCGGAAAACCATTCGAACTTTGGTTGTTTATGACATGTTGCACCCTTTTTTTTTAAATTTTTTATGGGTTTGCAACCTCAAACGGGCTACCGCCTCTACATTTTATTGTTACATTTTTTGGTTTTTTTTTAAATTTTTTGTTTTACTGTTGGGCCCAAAAAACCCATGAAAATTTTTATAAAAAAAAAGGGGAATGATAATTCCCTTCCCATTTTTAAAAAACATTGTTAAACATTTAGAAAAAAATGGGGTTGCAAAAAAAACCCCCAAAAAAAACGGAAAATGTTAAAATTTTCCCGGCTCCCGGGATTAAAGAGCTGGGTGTGGATGGAAAATTTTTGGAAATTTCAACCACTCAGTCCGTGTCCCCTTCCCGGCTTTTAAACAGATTTCACCTGAAAGGGTTTTCTCCACCAGTTTTTAAAATGGAAAAGTCGCAAAAAATTTTTTCTATACTTGTTTTGTTCAAGTAAAACCCGATCTTAAATTGGGGGCCCAAAAAAGTTAGATTAATTTTTTTCATTTGGGTAATTTTTGGGTCTTTTTTCCGATTATTTTTTTAAATTAAAATTTGATGGAAATACAAGTTTCATAGTTTGGAATCAATCATTTTTCAACAAAACCAAATACGGCCCCAAAATGCGCCAAAAATACCCTCTTTGGGTTTTGGGGAAAATTTTTCGATGCTGGCGGTGGGGGGGAAAATATCTGTTATTTCCCAAAAATTTACAAAACTTTGGACATGAAAGTCATCTGTAAAATGGTTGGACTTCAAAATCCGTAATTAAAATTAGAATATATTATTTCCATTTTAAATTATTTGAAAGAAATAACGATCTTAACTTTATATGAAAAGTGATATCTTGAAAATTTATACCAAATATTATGTTTCGCTGTAAATTTAGAATATTGTCTTCTGACTTCTAGCTTTTTTCCCCGACATAATCTTCTCTTGACAACTTCATAGCATTAAGCTTTTAACACAAGCAAAAACAAACTTATTAAAAACAATCGAATTTATACCTTTTAGGGTGCGTTTACTCTTAAATGTAACTTTGATAATAAATGTTTTCGTCATTACAATTTCAGAAATGCATTTGGTCATTCCCGTGCATTTTATGGCCAAGGACATGTCAAAGTTATGCTAGACCATCTTGATTGTGATGGGTCTGAGGACGAACATTTCACAGTGCCCTTTAAACAAAACAAACCCGGGGAAGTAAACAGAACCCTACAATTTTTCTTGATTGCCCGGGGGCAATTGTGAAGGACGTAAGCTTTCTTTTTACAATTTTAAAAAAATCGTTTAGAATTGTCTTTTTAAATTTCAGGGAGTAAATTTTTATCAAAACAAAATTTCCCTTTTTAAAAACATCTTTACAATTTTTAACACAGACCCCAAAATTTTTTAAAAATATTGGAATGTCTTTTTCCCCGTTTCATTTTGCCAGGGGGTGAGAAAAAAATCTTTAAATTTTACGATTTTACTAATAAATCAACATTAAAATTTTAACAAAATTTTTAAAAATATCTCCTGGGGCCCCTTAAAATTTAAAACCAATGTTTTTGGGAACCCTCTTTTCCCGGGTGATTTTTCAAAGGAAAATCTACCTAAAACTTCTTCAATAAACATCACTACATGACTTTAAGAAACATTGAAATATCGCTTATAAGCATATCTATGTATATTTCTATATCATTCATATTATCATTCCCCATATTTCCAACACATAAAGCATAACTTGAGAAATCTTTGTATCAAACAATTTAAATGCATTTGATTTCAAATGTTAGTTTATTAGAACCTTTAAGTAAACAATGTAAGCCTTTTAAAGCATACCAAGCAGACTACTCAGCCATCTTAAATATAAACCTGCATAAGTATACCCTGATACAATATCATTTGCATCATCGGCAATGAACCACTTTTTTACGTTTTATCGTACCAATTTAAAAAAAAACATTTTGGTTTTGGATGTATTAACAATAAACTTATTAATATAACAACAAACTTTAAGAGAATTAAGATAACTTTGTAGATCAACAACTATTCAGACACTAGTGCTACATCGTCTGCAAACATTAAAAGAAATATTTCTATAAAAGATGGTGTTAATTCACCCTATAAGCACCATATTGTTCTATAAATGAATATAAATCAATTGTAAACAATACAAAAGCACTGGCTAAAATAACATACCTGACTAAGCACAGGGGGCCCACACAGTGTTTGGATGGTATATACTGCTTGATAGTGACCTTAAAATGACATTTTAGTCATAACCTTATAATATGTATATAAATATAGACAAGGGGCATTACTCGCTAAATAGAGAATTTTCGATCACCCTCAAATTCATGCAGATTTTCCACTAATTAAATAAAAAAATTCCAAAAACTATACTGCGTTGCATAGCTTATATAATCCACATTGATAACACTAACTTTATTTGATTCCCTTAGCCCATTTTAAGAAATTTATTCAAAAACCGTTCACTTCTGTCACAAAATTGCTTAGTCGTACGAGATGTCGCAACACCAAAATTCCACGGGTAAAATATCAATTTTAAAAGGGGGAGGTACAAATAAACACATGCAAACAATAACACAACATAGTTTCTATTACCTACCTGCGCAAATAGTCGTGAAGCGCTCTATATTCGTCTGTTTCGAACGAAATCTTCAAAATCAGTGCAGAAATCTGCTCGACGTAGACATCTTGGGGAAACCCCGGTCACGTGACCAGCTGGTGTATCGAGACCTTTCATTGGTTCGGTAGGAACTTTGTTTATAACGGACAACCAATGAAAGGTTTCCATACACCATGACCAGAATTTCCAACATGTATTCGCCGAAGCAGATTTCTGTACTGATTTGAAGATTTCGTTCGAAACAGACGAATATAGAGCGCTCACGACTATTTGCGCAGGTAGGAATAGAAACTATGTTGTGTTATTGTTTGCAATGCGTTTATTTATATCTACCCCTTTTAAAATTGATATTTTACCCGTGGAATTTGGTGTTGCGACATCTCGTACGACTAAGCAATTTTGTGACAGAAGTGAACGGTTTTGAATAAATTTCTTAAAATGGGCTAAGGAAATCAGAAAAGAGTTAGTGTTTATCAATTGTGGATTATATAAGCTGTGCAACGCAGTATAGTTTTTGGATTTTTTTTATTTAATAAGTGGAAAATCTCGCATGAATTTGAGGGTGATCGAAAATTCTCTATTTAGCAAGTAATGCCCCTTGTCTATATTTATATACATATTATAAGGTTATGACTAAAATGTCATTTTAAGGTCACTATCAAGCAGTATATACCATCCAAACACTGTGTGGGCCCCCTGTGTGACTAAGGCCTGTCGGGAAACTAAATGATTCAGTTAAATCATCATTACAACAAATTCATATTGTAACATCATTATAAATAGCTTGCTTTACTTGCATCTAACAATCTACCTCTAATGTTTTGCCTAAATTAGCGTATAAATTATTTCTATTAACAAAATCAAAAGCCTTCTTGAAATCAATAAAATATGATAAACAAGATCATCATCATCAAGGAAAGGCGGCGTCAAATGAACACAGCCCCCACCCCCCGACCAGGCAACATACCTCTTTTTTCCTTTACAGCTAAGATACTTATTTATAACAGAATATAAAACAAACGCATTGTCAATTGTGTTATATCAACCTCTAAACCGATCTTTAGACTGAAAATAGTAATACATGTATAAACATGTGTATAAAATGTACGTCTCTTACTTAAAACACTAACATGAATGTTACTAAGTAAATTTATAAGGGCTTTATTCACCTAAAATAGTTTCATTCATATTAAATTCATTTACCGCATTAACTAATTCCTCGGCTTCAATTTCCACCGTAGGGAACGTGTTACAGTATCCCGTTTTTCGGTTAGAGTATAGAATTTTCAAGATGGAGGATTATTTACGGGAAGAGAGGTAGGTAATTTTTTTAGGTCCATACTATCAATAGTAGTATAGTTTCTAAAAGATATTTTTTTGCTTTAACATACATAAGAGAGTTAGGTAATTTTTTTAGGTCCATACTATCAATAGTAGTATAGTTTCTAAAAGATATTTTTGTGCTTTAACATGCCTCTATACTGTAAATTGTTTATTTTTTCAAACGCATTTAAACGAACAGGAAAATAGGTTCAACTGGTCATATACTTTTATAAGTGTTTCTTAGCACAAAGGACTAACGTTGTGCAGATTTACTTTATCTAGGCATGCTTAATAATGTCGGAGTTGGAGAAAATGCGTTGGTCTCTAGATTCAAATTTTAAACCGTCAAATCTGCACATTTATGGGACAATATAGAGATAAATCTGCAGTGCAGGGTCTGAAGAAATATATGACTAGATACCGGATTCTGTTCCTTACAAGCAAAGCACAAAAACATTTTATAGAAACTAAACTACTTGTAGTATGGACCGGAATAAAAATCTCCTACCTGCCCCCCCCCCCCCCCCAACAAATAATCCGCCATCCACGGAAAAACGCGTTTACTGTAACACGTTCCCTACGGTGATTTTGGCATTAAGAATGCAACTTTCATTGCTCTCAATATCAAAATAAATGTAAGGCTCCACTATTTTATCCTCAAATAATCCCTCCGTTTTAAATAGAGACTGAAATCTAAAGCCCCTCCCATATGTCTACCAGCCCTTAAATACCTCTTAGCACTACAAAAAAAACAAGTATACCCTGGAATGATATTATTATCTCATTATAGTGATGTTTGTGATATTATTCCAGGGTATGAGATAGGACACAAAACGGGCACAATTTATTAAAATTCTTGCAATATGTTACAAGAATAACGCCAAGTTACATGCACGTACCATCAATGTAACACAAATAAAAGCTGACAAACTTCAGAATATAAATACATGTTTTTTGGCATCTAACTAGTAAATTGCATGTAGTAATTCCATTGTGAAACAAGTGATAAACTAGAATGACAGAATTTTCTGTTATAACATCTTCAGCAAAACGCTACGGAATGAATATATACAAAACTCGCGAGCCCATGTCAGCCTTTACAAAAACAAATGACCATCATTTCTGTCTGTTAGCTATCATCGGTCATTGTTTTCACTTTTTTTATTTCAAAAGATATTTTATGTGTTTTTTTGTGATAATTTCTGTTGAAATATAATTCTTATTCTTAGTTAAGATTACCGAAGATGAATTACCTTATAAAATTCTCAAAATAAGCCCGATCCAGACGCTTTTCAATTAGTTTCTGAAGTAAGAAATGGGGTTGCTTGTATTAAAGTTATTGATAGTTTTAAAATTAAAATGTTAAAACAGAGAAAATAAGAGTCCCTAAAGAAAGCCAAATGGACGGTAATTTGCACTTGACAGTACCGTCCATGAACAGGTTCAGTCAAACCGAGCCTGCAACACTTTCAATTTGGCCGTTTTGGTATTCTTATGTTCTCTATTTGCTAGAAACTCGGATCCGTTTAAGAGATGGAGATTCGGAAAAATCCGGAAGAGTTGAAATCTACCATCTTGGAAAATGGGGAACGATGTCTTCCGAAGATTTTGACAGAAATGATCTGGAAGTTATATGCAGAATGTTAGGATATATCTACAGGTAATCATTATATATAAATCAAGGCAAATCTGGAACATTATTATTTGTATGGGCATAAGCGAGCCAAATATGGTGACTTTTTCATCTGAAAATACGTTTATAACACAAGTGCATCAAATCTTGACATGAATAATTGCACGAGTTTCCTTTTGAATATCAGCACTGTAGTTTTAATGAGTATGACACTAGAATTTCCATGATCACCATTTTATAACCACATCTGCAGATGATTGCTGAGTATTCAGTATAGAGTGAGGAAGTGACTTTGATAGGGTTGACGGTAGTTGTGTAGGTAAATACATGCCTAAAGTTATCCTTATTATTAGCTCAGGGTGAGCTTTAAGTATCAACAGGGGATGCTCCAGTGCATGTTGTCATGCGTCAACAATTACCTTCTTCTCTGAAACTGCTAGGAAGATTGATTTCAAATTTGGTCTGAAGCATCCTTCTGACTGTCACACTTAAATTGGCTCTTGTCATTTCAATTAGCCCCTTTTAGGGGTCAACAGAGCTAAAAAGAGAAAAATCTTTAAACATCGAACATAGAACTAATTGATGGATGATCACAAAAATTTGTCTGTAGCATTCTTGGGTGGTCTTTTATCAAGTTTGCTCATAATAATGTGATTGGCCCCTTTTAAGGGGTCTCAAGGGCTAAAAATAGAAAAAAAACTTTAAACATCTTCTACAAAACTAGCGGATCACCAAACTTTGTCTGTAGCAGTCTTGTGTAGTCTTTTATCAAGTTTGCTCATATTAATTTGATTGGTCCTTTTTAGTGGTCTCTAGGGCTAAAAATAGAAAAAACCTTTAACATAATCTTCTACAGAACTAATGGATGGATAATCACCAAAATTAGTCTGTAACATTCTTGAGTAGTCTTTTATCAACTTTGCTCATATCAATTTGATTGACCCCTAAGGCTAAAGCTAAAATTAGAAAAAGCTTTAAACACCTCTTTCTACAGAACTAACTAATTGATGATCACCAAATGTTGTATGAATTATTCTTAGGAAGTCCTTTCATCAAGTTCGCTCATATTCATTTGATTGGCCCCTTGGGGCCACTTAAGCAAAAATTAGAAATACCTTTAAACGTCTCTTTCTACAGAACTAATGGATGGATGATCACCAAACTTTGCCTGTAGCATTCTTTTGTAGTCTTAACAAATTTGCTCATATTAATTTGATTGGATCATAACAGAGGCCGCTAAAGCTAAAAGTAGAAAAAAAACTTTAATGGTCATTTTTTACTGAACTAATGGATGGATGATCAGCAAACTTTTTAGCATTCATAGGTAGCCTTATCAAGTTTGCTATAATTAATTTGATTTGCCCCTTTTAGGGGCTGCTTAAGCTAAAGATAAAAAAACCTTTAAACATCTCCTACAGACCTGATAGATGGATGATCACCAAACTTTGTCTTCTTATGTAGACTTTTATTAATTGTGCTCATATTAGTTTGATTTGCCCCTTTTAATAGCTTCTAGAACTAAAAAAAGAAAAGTTTTCAAACATTATCTTTTCTACGAAAGTTACAGATGGATGATTGGCAAACTTTGTCTGTAGCAGTTTTATGTAGTCTTCTATCAAATTTGCTTATATTAATTTGTTAAGCTAAAATGCCCCAGGCCATTGCATTCCTTCAAATTATAGTTTAAAGATATCTTATGCACAACCTTGGGTAAAATATTTTTATCACATAAATTCATTGAAATGTATGTAATTTTTACCAAGTATTACCAATTTGAACAAAAGAATGAATAATAATTAATTATTTATTGGAAGCTTTGTGCCGTATTACAGGTCAAGTAAAATTGGTCTTTTCTAAAAAAATAAGTGCTAGTTGTTTAATGACACTATATATTCATATTGTAACCACCTATAGTTTGTAGAATTTAAAACACAGCTTTGTGTGAAGTTTAAATGATTATTTTATATTTACAAAGAGACTGTGTAGCAATTATATATATTATCAAATATATAAATTGAGCATAGTATATATTAAATGAAATGGAAACAACTTATGTTGGAATGTCTTTCATAAATGTGATCTTTTATGCAATTATTCCAAGCTGAGAGTAATGACCTGTTTCCTGATGAAATTATTTGATGTCATGACCGCTGGGAAGAGATAAAATGATATTTATGAAATCACTTGAGCACATAATAAGGACATAATGATAAACAACACCCTGAAATTATAAAAACTTTATAATGATGATTTTAAATCATAAATGTTTTCAGAAAAAGGTTAAACTTAATTGAAAATATAGTATACAGCTATGTTACACAGTAAATGCTTATGTTTTGTCAAGTAAGTATACTTTTACATTAAATCAATTGTTACACTTCATGCTTTATATCTTAACATATCTGCACATAATTTTTCATTTTACATGCTAATATACTTTTTTGTTTATTGACATAAAGACTTGTAATTTGGACAAGGGGTTTAATTTGTGATGCTAAATTGAATTTTGATATCAGCTGGCCTTCTTTTGATATTTTTAGCTCACCAGAACCGAAAATTCAGGATGAGCTATTAGTATCAAAGGGGGATACTCCGGCGTCCGTCGTCATTTGTCAGCTTTCATATTCTTCTCTAAAACTGCTTAGCAGATTATCTTCAAATTTTGTCTGCAGCATCCTTGTGTCAGTCTCACTAAAATTTGCTCATGTAATTCCAATTGGCCCCAAGGGTTTAGGGGTCTACAGAGCTAAAAAAACAAACTTTAAACATCTTCTACTACAGAACAAGTTGATGGATGATCACCATACTTTGTCTGAAGCATTCCTATTTAGTCTTTTATCAAGTTTGCTCATATTAAACTGATTTGCCCCTTTAAGGGGCCGCTAAAGCTTAAAATAGAAATACCTTTAAACGTCTGCTTCTACAGAACTTATTGATGGATGATCACGAAATTTTGTTTGTAGTATTCTTGGGTAGTCTTTTTATCAAGATAGCTCATATTAATTTGATTGGCCCCTTTTAGGGTTCATTAAAGCTAAAAATAGAAGAAATCTTTGAACATAATCTTCTACTGAAATAATTGATGGATGATCACTAAACTTCCACTGTATCATTCTTACTTATCTTATGTAGTCTTTTATCAAGTTTGCTCATATTAATTTGATTGGCCACGTTTAAGCTAAAGCTTAAATGTCCCAGGTCATCGCATTTCTTCAGAATATTGTTTTAAGATATTCTATGCTAAAATTTACTATATATATTGACAATGGATACTTTCCACCTCTGAGAAGCAGTTATTTCTGCTGAGCGTCTTAGGACCATTATCGCCATCTTGTTATATTGGTTTACGTATTGTCATTTTTAGGTTCAGTTATGTTAACATATAAAATGTATAAAAAATGTCCCAACTAGAAATTTCAAACATCTACACCTTAAATATTTTTCATGTGACATTTTGTGTATTCATTCGCAAAAGTTATAAAAAAATTGTCCTATCAAAATTAACCCTGCTCTGTTGGTCATTTATTCTGCAGTCATTCTACATTGTCTCATAGGAATACACTTGCAGTATAAATATTTTAATGAAGCCTTTCCAAAATATTAGGGCAAAATATTTTGGTTTATAAAGTGGAAAATCAATGGTGGGTCACATGAGTGATCTAGGGCCATTTGGACCCTATTGTTTATTATGAAGGAAACAAACAATCAATTTTGTGAAAGTGTATAGTTAGATGGGCAAGTTAAAGTTGAGCTTGACTTACCTTTCTAGCACTGAAAAACAGTTGTTTTGGTGAGCGACCTAGGGCCATCATAGCCCTCTTGTTATTCTTGTTATCATTTTGTGAATTTTCCTACTGGCATTGCTAGTAATCAGTAAAAAATCACATTTATCTTTAGGTCAAAGGTCAAAATCACCTCGGCCTTGACTACTAAGAGGTGGTATTACCAATAACTAGAAAACGTAAGATTCTGCATTAAGTTTAATCATGAAAAATAAACTTTGATTTTGATATAAACGTCATTGTCTGACAACTAAAAATATCGGCCAATCAGTAACGTATGCACGCTTGTCCTAGAATACTTTCATTCAATTTGGATGTTTGTAATAAAGTTAGCTATAGGTACCACTGTACGTTGCAACTAAAATAGAATGCTCAAAACCACCTTACACTATTTTTAGAAAAATTACAAATGGAATGTGTTAAGAATGAGTATAATATATGTTTATTACCAACACAGACAAAATCCTTAAATCCTATAATTAACAATACATATATTGCAGTTCTAAATCCTTCTATATGCCCAATGGTTACTATGGTCAAGGAACCGGACAAATTATTGTCTCAGACCTGGGTTGTCATGGTGGTGAATCAGATATTGGCCTTTGCTCAGCTTCATGGTGGCCATCTACCGATTCCCTGTTACACTCACATGATGTTGGCGTTAGCTGTGATGGACGTAAGTTATTTAGTAATACATGTATATGATTGTGTTAGAGGATTTTTGGGTATTTGTAAATAGCCGTGATTCTTGTCATACGATGTTTAAAAAATGGATCAAAGACAGAAAAGACCGGTTGCATATATACCAAATATCATAAGACTGTGATGTTACTAAAAAAAATTACCATTGATGCCAAAAATTTATCTAATAGAGAAAATAATAATCCATAAAGAAAGCCCAACACGGTTAAATTGAAAATGCTGCAGGCTCGGTTTGATTGAGCCTGTTCATGGACGGTACTGTCAAATGCAAACTACCGTTCACGTCCCTAGCACCGGTGTAAGCAGAATTCAACACTTAACATGAACTGGTACAATTTTGAATTTTGAAACATCCGCAGATGTGTTCATATGGCGGTTATCATGGAACCTTCAATGTGACATGTAAGTGCCATTCCATGAAAAGCGGCATATGGTCCCAAAGTGTGAAAAAGCGTGTGCCCTAAACGAGAAAACAATGGGCGGAACGAAATAAAATAGAATTTTGAAAGGGGATCAGAGGTTATAAAGCCTGCATATCACAAATAAGGCCACATATCCTAAGGGTGATTCAACAGTATGCAAGTGAGAAGTATTGGAACCATCCAACAAGAAATAGCCGGTAAACAAGAAGCAGATAAGCGACAAATCTGAAATAGAATCCAACAATATGTGACAACGTGTTAATTTTGTATACAATAGGGTGAACGTTTCAATTGTCAACAAGAATTTGTAACAGAGTTACCAACGTCCCCCGCCTCGGGAAATTTTATCTGAAGCGTAAAATTGTGCTATTTTAAAAGATTGAGGTATGGATCTCAGGATTTTCAGTCCAAAATTATTATCAATGTTAGATCTGCAAATGCAACAATAAATTTGTTAAAAAGATAAAATTAAACACGGAATTTAAAAATCTATCATGTTAAGCTTTGACCTCTAAGTGTGACCTTGACCTTGGAGGTAGGGGAGCAGGTGTTGTGCATGACATAACGTCTTATTATGGAGACTATTTGTGCCAAGTATTTTCAAAATCCCTTGAACTGTGAAGAAGTTATAGATTGGACACAAAATATATAACAGACTATGTAAATATTTGACCTCTAAGTGTGACCTTGACCTTCGAGGAAGGCGCACAGATGCTACGCATGACATATCATCTAATCATTGTGACTATTTGTGCTCAGTATTTTCAAAATCCCTTAATCTATGAAGAAGTAATACCAAATAACAGACTCTGTTAACCTTTGACCTGTAAGTGTGACATTGACCTTAAAGGTAAGGGTGCAGGTGTTTTACTTGAAATATTGTCTATTATTGCCAAGTTTATTTCAAAATCCCTTGAACTATGAAGAAGTTCTAGATCCGACACAAATATTACCCTCTAACAGACTATTGTTAATTTTTGACCTCTAAATTGTGACCTTGACCTTTGAGGTAGGGATGCAGGTGTGTTGCGGCAAAGACACATTCTCTTATTATAGTGACTATTTAAGCGAAAGTATTTTTCAAAATCCTTTGATCTATGAAAAAGTTATGGACTGCACACCAAAATATACCCGAGTAACAGACTATGTAAGTATTTGACCTCCAAGTGTGAACTGTTGACCTTGGAGGTAGGTGACCAGATTTTGCGCATGACACATCGTCTGATTATTGTGAACAATAAAGCAAGTATTTACAAAAATTCCTTCATAGATATGAAAAGTGATGGACCGGACACGACATATACCCTCAAATAGACGATGTTGACCTTGAATGAGCAAGTTAGACCTTGACCCTTGAGGTAGGGGGCTGGTTGTTGCGCATGACACATCGTCTAATTATTAAACAATTAGACGAGCTTATAGATTCGTCAAATAGTACAAAATCATTCTGGCATAAACTTAAAGGTATGTGTAATAAGAAAGCACATAGTTCAAACTCGATTACTTTAAACGAATGGAAAAATCATTTTTGAATCTTTATTTAATGTTATTAACTATGAAAATTTTGAAAGAGATTGATTCAATTTTACCAGAGCATATAGATAATGATATAGAGTTTTCAATTTTTATATCGGAAATTACAGACGAAGAAATCTTAAGGCTGTAAAAGAACTTAAAAGAGGAACTTCGGGGGTGAAGATGATATTATTCCAGAATTTTTTATTAACCGGTATTGATTTATTGATTCCTTTAGTTAATAAGATATTTAATAGATTATACAATAATGGTGATTTTCCGGAATCATGGAGTAAGGCAATTATTAAATATAATTTACTATACATACTATAAACGGAAGACCTAACTTTTTTAGTGTAATATCTTTAATAAAATTAGTGAATCCACAAGCCTGGATTCGCGAGAAGTTACTCGATCAAATTGATAATGTTTATGTACTTCAAGCAGTTATTGAACAAACAATTATCAAAAGCAAGTGGTAAACTCTATGAGCATTAATGTCTTTAATGAATGTTTCAGAATTTGATAAATATGACATAAATATTTGGCAAGCTTTAAAAACAAGCCGGTGTAAAAAGTAAATTATATAAGCATACATTTGGTATGTATTGTCGGTGCAGCTTGGTGGTTACGAACTGATGAAGGGCTAACTGAATATTTCAGCTTGTCCCATAAGGTCTAAAAACAAGGTTATGGCTTCGCCAATTCTATTTTTAGTTTTTATTGATGAAAATTAATTAAAACGAATTGAAAAATAGTGGAATCAGAGGTACCAGCTGTCCCAGATACACCTGAGTTATCATCTTTATTATTTGCAGATGATTTGGCCTTAGCTGCAGATACTGTTGTTAGCCCCTTCAGAAGTTATTAAATTTGGTAAAAAAATTTCTGTGATGAAAAAAATTAAAAGTTAATCCTGTAAAATCAAAAGTAATTGGTTTTTAAGAAAGGTGGGAAATTAGCGAAAGGGGAGAAAATGGTTTTATGATGAAATCAAATTCTTGAAAGTTGTAAGCAAATTTTAGTTATGTAGGTGTAACATTTAACACAAACAGTTGTCCCTTAAACAGAATGTCTAGTGAACAAGCGTCTAAAGCAAAAAAGAGTACTTATTTCTAACTTACGCAATATATACTACGGAAGTTACCCCCCAAAAGTATTATTTTAATTTTTTGACACACAAAATTAGTCCTATTTTACTTTATGGATCAGAAATATGGGGTATACACAAGTTAGTACAGCCAGAGTTAGTGCATAACTATGCATGTAAAAAGATATTTATGTGTGAAAGAAAAAACAATTAATGCAGGTGTCCTAGGTGAACTGTGGGAGATTTCCTAATGTTTATCAATTCTGCTAAAAGAGCTGTAAGATATTGGTGTAAAATACTTAAAATGGGTGAACACAGATTAGTTAAAAAATGCTATTTTATGTAGTTGTTTTTGGATAGTACGGGGCAAAACTAATTGGTGTACTGGTTATTCGTAATTTATTTATGTTAAAATGGTTTTGGCTACATTTTTGGTATAATCAAAAAGTCAATAAATGAAGACTATTTCATAAATTCTTTGTAGCAAAAATTAAAGGACCAAAATTTACAAGAATGGCAAACAATTATAAATGATAGTTTCTAAATTGTATGCGTATAGACATTTTAAATGCTATATCGAACATGAATATTATTACTTAACAGTAGTGACAATTAGAAAATTCAGAAATGCTCTTGCCAAACTTCGGTTGTCCTCTCCATGATTAGAAATTGAAAAAGGTAGATACCAGAATATTTTAAGAGAACAAAGGATATGTAAATATGTCAGCGAAGCAATTGGAAATGAATATCATTTTGTTTTAGTTTGTAAAAAATTGTCTTTGATTAGAGAAAAATACATTGACAAAAAATTCTTTAATAATCCTAATAATCATAAATTTAATGTTCTAATGTGCTCTCGCTCTGATAATGTTTATTAACAAATTTAGCTATGTATGCATATTATGCATTCAAAGAGAGAAATGAGATATTAAGTAATACAGATACTGACAGTTAGAAATCATTAGGATATACTTACTATATTGTTGAGATCAACATTCTTGGAATCATTTTGTATGTTATAACACAGATACTTAAATTTGAAATTATTTATTATAAAATATTTGAGAATATGCTTATAATATCATGAATGTTACTTTTAGGTATTGTTTAGTTTGTTGTTTTCAATTTTGAATACGTTGTACAGTGATGAGATATATGGATTTACTTTTCATTTCGGGCAATGTTGTACAAAAGCTTAAGACTGATCAAAACACTATTGCCTTTTATGTAAAGGCTATAGTATGTTTTCCTTATTTTGCAATGAATAGCCATAAGTGAAGATCTTATGTTTTGTTTTTCGTTAAGATCGACACGCATTTTGGTAAATTATTCAACAAAAGTTCTGTGTTTCAATATAAACATTATTAGGAATTACATCGATCTGTACTGACACCAGTCAAGAAATTATATCTAAATGTATATATTGTTGTAATGGGCCGGTGGCCAATATCAATAAATAAATTGTCATTGTCATAATTATAACAAACATTTGTGCCAGTTATTTCAAATTCCTTTGATAAATGACAAAGTTATGGACCGGACATGAAATATACCCTGTATCAGACTATGTTAATATTTGACCTCCAAGCGTGACCTAGACCTTGAAGGTAGGTGACTGGTTCTTGCGCATGACACATCGACCGATTATTGTGAACAATTAAGGCAAGTATTTACAAAATCCCTTCATAGATATGAAAGTTATGGACCGGACACGACATATACCCTCAAATAGACAATGCTGACCTTACAAGTGCGACCTTGACCCTAGAGAAAGGGTCTGGTTGTTGTCCATGACACATCGTCTTATTATAATTAACATTTGTGCCAAGTTATTTCAAATTCCTTTCATAAATGACAAAGTTATGGACCGGACACGAAATATACCCTGTAACAAACTATGTTAATATTTGACCTCCAAGTGTGACCTTGACCTTGAAGGTAGGTGAC